TGTGATGGTAGAATATAAACTTTTTTATATGCCCCAAACGGAAGCATGGTGGTCAACATCTTCGCTATAAGGATGTGCTTAAGAGGCAACCACACGCTGGTTCTATTGAACCATCTGTTTAGGAGAGGCTCGCTTCACATAGGTCTTCTTGACGATCTAACTACTATCTATAAAAATGTAAAAACATTTGAATAAAAGACGCTCGAAACACTAAAAGAAAAACGCCAAATACGTACAGAGTGACCTAAACCCTCTCGTACCTATAATTTCAACTCTTCAGGGCAACAATATTGCTTTGTTGGTGATCGGGTATTTAAGACAAAATTCGGTATGACGAATTACACACGTTGGCGTGTACCACACACGCTAGGAACTAATCTCAAAGGATCGCTGTTATTGAAATTGATAAGGAGGACTATATATTCTAATAGAAATCAAAGCAATTATTTAGGCTAACAATACATGAAAGTGATTGACATTTAAGCTATTATTCAAATGATTATTGACCTTTATTTAACGTACACGTACCTTTAAGTATTCAGGGATAAGCACTTGCGAACTTGCGAAAGACCTTTTTAAAGTTTGGGGCAAAAGGATAAGGAACTAAAGAATTTATGTTCTACTGAATTAGTTTATCGAAAGCGAATTTCTGGCGCTTATTCTGAACATACAATGTTTTTTATATGAATTATAAGTATTCTATTATAATGCAGAAATAGAATACTTATAATTCCAAACTCGTGTTTTTGCTATTTATCAGAAGAAACCGCAATAAAAAGTTTAAACGTAGACATTACTCTTTTTTCGTAACACTATTAACACAGGTTTTGTACCTAGAATAGGTTATGATGGTTCAACTTTTGTTTGCCCATACAATCGAATTGTACCTTATTGTAGTCAACTAGTTTAAGTGCTGTATGTTTAAATTGAATAAATTTATTATTATTATTATTATTATTATTATTTTAATATTATTATTTGAATTATTGAGACAAATATCTATTAGGAAATTTAATAGCAGTGGAGCTGTTTGTGGAAGAGTTTGTCCATACATGGTCCAGACGAATTGTTAAGTAATTTGTCGTCCAGGGAAGTACTGCCACCTTACCTATTTCTGCCGCCAAGCACTAAAGTGAGCATTGCTGCGTTCCGATTTTGAAGGGTATTGGTGAAATTACAGGGACTAGTCAACGTATGTCTCACAGACGCAGTGGCAGTCCCCCTCAGGATCTTTGCGATTTAAATCTCTGAGTAGCACTTCTAATTGTATGGTTTATTTTTGGCCATTAATTTCTCCGATGTTTTAAGGAGGAATTCATATCTGAGGCCCGGTTTCCCATATTACAAGCTTCTGCTTAGTGTAAGCACCAGCCTTAATTTGCAAACATAATATAATATCTCTGACTGTGTATATTTACATTTTGATTATAGGCGTTTACGCATTACATCCGATTCGTATCACTTCCGTATCCGATAAATGACGCTCCGAAATGTCACAGGGATCATTTTATCTCTTGATGTACAAGCGATATACGTAAATACGAATATTGCACAAATATAATGCACTAAGCATGATTCGAATCTTAGTGCATTATATTTTTATAGTGAATTTATATCCATATAATAAGAGTGAAATTACAGCTGTTGAAATTATAGGCGCACGGGATGATGGGACTTGTCAACTTAAGAGGCAGTGCCCCTTAGATCTTTGTGAACTAAAGCTCTGAGTGGTATTGAAACTGTTATGGATAGGCGTATCATTTACTACCAGACCCACAACTTGTTCGTACCGTCACTTGTTATCATGAAAAAAATATAAAAAAATATAAAAAAATTAATAAAACAAAAGTGAAAAAGAGGCGCGTTTCGCGACTGTGGGAGCGATACGTGTAACGTCTTTTTCCACTCTAACAGCAAGGCCATATTGCTGTAATAACATATTTTAATGTACTAGTAAATCAAGTGTAAGATACCCGCCCGTATGTCAACACAATTTTGCAAATACAGGCACTTCGTAATCTCTTGAGTGTCGATTGATCAGGGCAGGTAGAATTGGATGCTATCATTGTATCTTACCCTACGTTGCAACTGAACAGTGTTGTAAATACAACATAATATCAAGTGTAGTGTATACTTGTACTAGATGACGAGTGGCAATGCACGGTAAAATCATAATTGGTTTTTGTGATACTGCCGTTGTTAGTTGAAAGGTCGCTTGTGAAAAGAACTTAAAACCGAGAAAATAATGTTTAAAGAAAGAAATTTAAAAAAGTATACTTTTCCTTTGCGGTAACTTCATCGGATCGGTGGCAGTATACATAACAAATTTTTTTTAAATATCACACGCGCCCTTTCAATTAACGGCGGCATTTTGTTATACCCATGTAAATTCTGTTATGTTTATAAATAAAAAAAAATATTTTTAAAATAAAATAAAATCATGCAAATAAAATAAAATCGGCTTTATTTGACATGTGCATGCAAAATAAATTAGAAACAATTATAGCAACACTTATAGACACATATAACACAAAATAATTATAATATATTTGTACATGTGATGACTCCTTTAAAAGAAATATCTCTAATCGATCAATAAATATTATTACGTAATATTTATATTTACATCAGTCTGTTTTGTAACATTAAATATTTTTAAACATACACACATGCCTTCGGTATCGAAATTTATTTCATCTTAAAACAAAAATTATATAACCAGTGCTGTCTGAGCATTTTTAGTAAGGAATAGACAATATCCGGGAACTTTTAATCACTTTAGCAATAAAATATAGGTATATTACTTGGTTGACAGGTTCGTCATGGTACGAATATGAGTAATATTATAACAAGATAATAAGGAATAAGATTGTTTTTGGAAAGTTTATGGTAGGCCCCTGTACAGGTACCTCTCATTTATCTGCTATTTCCATTATCAGATCAAATCTAGGTCATCATAATATTTTATTTTCATTGGATTTGGCTTGGTTTTATTGAAATAGGTGAAACTTGAAAAAATGGGAACGAAACACATCAAAAATGTAGTCAAATTGAGAACGCCTCCTTTTTTGAAGTCGGTTAAAAATATTGATATAAATTATTTATTAAAAAAAGTTATATCCCTTCACTCAAACCTTTGACACAATTTTATTTTTTCTTCTAATATTCACATCGTTATCACATACACGTTCATTTCTATGTAAATTCAGTATCCTCTTCATGGTAAATAAATTGACACTTATGAAGCGTACACGCGTGAATACGTCCGATTTTTTTGGTAATTTTTATTCAAGTACTGTTTACTGTTTTTTTATGATATCAAGTGACGGGTCGAACGTCGTGCGCCTAGTGATGATAAGACACGCCTATCCATAACAGTTGCAGAGCCACTCAGAGGTTTAGATCGCAAAATTCTGAGGGGCACTGCCACGGTACCCGTCATCTTGGGATTTACAGTCGACAAGTCCCATGTGCGTAGCGAAAAATAGTTTAATTTTCAATTATTAACATTGTCATTAATCGGTCATTCTCGGACGGTCACTACCTAATTTCCGTGGTAATTTTTATTATTTAATTATTGGATTTTTTTGTCGTGAAATATATAATATATGAAAATGAAATATATAGTGTTGCATTGTAAAATATTATTTAATAATTACACGAGAATATGCTTGAATACTTAAATAATAGACATTGGAAATTAGGCAGTGAACTTAGGAAAGTAATAGTAATAGTATTATAATAAAAAGAAAATTAGGAAGTGAAGAGACACGATAACTTCGATGTAGTTATTCATTATATTAGTAACTGGATTTTTCATCATCTGTATTTTAAAGAAACCATTTGGCTGCGTCATTGTGCATCATTTCAGTTCCTTCTATATTTATACGTTACATTTTTTTAAATCGCACACAATGCGCAACTCATACGCATTTTTTTAAGTTCAGGCAACACTATCCTCTCTCACACCCGCTCCCCGCTACCTCAATACTGTCGTCAAGATCAGAGAACAAAAAAGTAACGAGAACGGGTTTACCTCTCGCCGGTTGACTCAGCGCCGTGGGGTCGGTGCACATTCACCACGACGCCGCCCTGCCGCCCTAGCTTGCGCCAGGGCTCCTGCGCCAACGGAGGGGCAGGTCAGTTGTCCCCCGACCCGCCCCCCAGACGAGTGAGGCTGTGCAATGCAGGCTCCGGTGTCCCTGTCCAGTGCCCGCTGGCGTCACTAGGGGATCAGGCGAGCAGCAAACTGCCTTCGCCTTCACCCCGTACGTCTGCGCCGAAGCGGGTGCGCGTCTGCCGCTCCTCGAGCACCCGCTCCGCAGCCTCCTATTGCTACATAACCTCTCCGCAAAAGGAGGCCACCGCCTCCCAGGACTCCTCGCTACCGAGAATGGCGGCAACCACGCCCGGCAGCGAAAGGTCCTGCCCTAATGTCCTCGTCAGAGTACGGCGCTGCTTATCCCACCGGCTGCACACCTCTAGGATGTGCTGCGCGGTGTCATCCGTAGCGCCGCATTCATGTCACGACGGGGACGGTTCCTCCCTCGCCACCTTGTGCCACCGTCATGTACGCCCTGCACATTCGCAGGGCGACCACCCTCTGAGGCCTCCTCAGCAGCGATTTCGTCGTCGCTGATAAGACCCCACTCCAAATGGGAGCCCTGTATAAGGCCATACTCCAAGTCACCCCGGCGTATAGCCTTCTGCATGGCTCCCGGCCTCCCGAGTATGGCCCTCTCGCAGACGGCGGTCAAGTCTTCCCTGAACTTGACGGCCCTCTACTCCACGTCGACACGTCGTCGATACGTCGTGGTCGGCGTATGGGAGACCCTCATCCGTATGTATTTATGATCGGAGAGGGTCTCCTCGTCCTCCAGGACCTGTCAATCGAATACTTGCGCCGCTAGTGAGGGGGTCACTAACGTGACGTCCACGATTAACCCCCCATTTCGCCTCACGCACGTGTTAGCCCCGGTTGAGTATGACTAGCCCTAAGGCTACCGCCCAATTCTAGCATTGCTGACTAGGGAACCCCACGCAGCGCTCTTGGCGTTGAGGTCCCCCATCACCAGCAACGGCGCCGGAGCTGCCCTCCTCACTGCCCTCTCCGGGGTCTCCAGGAACGCCTCGAATTGGGCCAGGGAGCGATTTGGAGAGAAGTACCCCCCAATTAGGATGACTTCTCCCCAAATCGCTGCCACGAACCCTGACCCGCGCTCCTTTACCACTAGAGACGGGGAGTTTCCGGCAGTCGACGCCGCTATGACCACCGTCTCCTCCCGAACCCCCGCCCAGTTTCCGCATGGCTCCGCCGCAACCGCCACTGCAACCCCCCACTCCGCCATGGCCTGAACCAATAGGTCCTGTGCCCTGGCGCAGTGATTGAGGTTGCCCTGCAGTATTGTGTGGTGGCGTGCTGGGTGATGGGTAACCCTGCCACTTCACGCACACATTTGCGCGTGTGCGGATAGCGCTTTGCTTTTTGTAGTAAGTAAATAACTTTCAACCGTTGTATGCAGTGTCCGGGGTGGGTCAAGAGTTCAAAAACTTAAGTCAAGTGTAATCGAGTGATATTTAAAACGATCTATAAAAGCTTTTTCAATAATAAAATCCGCTTAGACTTATATTCGCAATTCAAAAGCATTCTTGTGAGCCAAAACTGTGACAATATTATAAACTCAATACTGGATATGCAAGGTGACTTCACGAGGTATGTATTGGCCCCTCCACTATTGAAAACTTAACTTTTAATCAAAGCTCTTCTCTTTACTTTGAATTTAATAGATGCAGAAGGTCCAATTTTAATATATAATTCGCAAGTATTCTGTGAGATAGAAAATGATAACTGTAGTAAGACTTTTGTCATTTAATACTTTGAAAGTTGTTTGGCTGAATTCCTATCTATTAATTGAATCTTTTACAAAGAACACTCAGACCAGAAGCAATTTAAATTATTGAAGCTCAATCAAATAAAATACTAAGTACGTATCGAGTCTTAGACTTTCGCATTGCTACACATTGGAAACGTATCATTTTTTGGATCTAAATCCAATTAACTTGATTCAGACAGCCGTGACCATAAAGAGTAAAGAGCCCGAAAACATAGAATAATAAGACAAATAAGGTTACTTCATTTATACATATTAGAGAGCTTATAATGTGTCGATGGCTTTATATATAGTGGCCAGTCTCAAAAGCATCTAATTCATCAGGAGAACATGGCTTAAAAAGCTGAGAAGCGTCTTCCGCTCGAAGTTATCGAATCATAGACCATATTGTTATATGATTATTCTAACGAAAAGAGTGCTAGAGAGAAGACAGGATGGATTTTAGTTTATTAGTTAGTTATTTAATTTAAGTTTAGATTAGTAATATGTTTTGTTTAAGATTTTTACTTGTTTTTAATTTTTCTTTTGTTTTATCTTTATTTTTATTTTGTTAAAATTAAATTGGCGTAACGCTATGGTCAATGAATACCGTCAGGTTACACCATTTATAATTGAATAAATAAATAAATAAATAAATAACCAATGAAAAACTTGGAATCCCAATCACAATAAAATTTAGCATTTTCTAAAAAATACACACTCACTAGTGCGATCACTAGGCCCTGTATCGCGGGCGCAATGGACCCATACACACGCAAACAACCACAAAAATTATACCCTAATTCATAAGAGAAATACGTATATTTATTTTATGATACAAATATTTCTCCCGACCCGGGAGTCGAAGCAGTAAATTTTCTAAATAAGTCTCGGTAATAAGTAAGCAAGGGTCAATTTTGGATTCAGCCACTAATCTCGGCGTCACAAGCGTTTCATTATTATTGTGTTTGTAGGCAAACTACCGAGCGTGCTAGCTGACCACTGCAGCTGTTCGCTCAGCGTTAGAACTGTACCTATAGAGATTTATTTGGCTGTATGCTGCAGCATTTATAACATGTGATTTTTGGGTGTTTTGCATTTAAAAAAAATACCTGTTATATGATTTCATATTAAAATAATTTTTAATTCAAAGATAAAGAAATTTTACTTGAAATCGTCACATTGATCAAACTGTACCATTCATTCATAAGGCATATTCCCCTGTGAAGAATGAGTCGGAAACTCTGGTTGCTCTTAGAATAGAATAGAATAGACATTTATTGCAAAGCCAAAACACAGGTACAAAAAAAATGATAACACAAACAAGGAAAACAAAATTAAAGAAATAATAATTAATTAATTAACAAAATAAAAAATACAATAACAAAAAAAAACAACATTAAATAAGACAAATAATAATGACTACAAATTTTGTACTGTCACTGTTTGTTGTGACGTACGCAAAAGGACTTCATTCAGCATAAGCCACAGCCATAATTGACTGCAGCGCTGGTTTTCAATGAATCCTGAGCCGAGATGAGTGATGGACGTGTGGTTGTGAAATAACTTAAAATAAACTACTTAAATATTTGTGTATGTGTTCTTTGTATATTGTGTTTCTGCTGTATGTAAAAGTACATAAATATAGCAAAAAATGTAAATATACCTAGTGTGTGCGTTTATAGTGTTTACGTAACAAATAAAATTATGGAATATACAACTCGATCGCTCCCAGTCAAGTTGCAACGAAAGATGCGCGGACGGACGCACGGGAGGAGAGGGGACGCTATTCGACAGCCGGCACATCATCGCTGTCCGCTCGGCTGTTTTGTTTATGTTTAACCTTCCAGTGGTCGCACCCTTGCACCGAAGATACGCAGTCGCGTGCGGTCTATGAAACCGCAACTTTACACGTTCAGTTTGAGAAGACAAATGAATATTTTCATTTGTATTTATTAGTTGAACAGTCTATAAAAATTCAAAATTTTAGTCATATGACAGAAACAACGTTAAAAATCAACAAAATATTAAACAAAATAAAATTTTCTATCTTAATCGTTCATAAGCACACTTTAATAAATTATTATCGAGATCAATAAATATTGTCATCAATTGCTCAATATTGTACGAACTCTAAAATCACAATTATTTTTAAATGTTTTTTTTTATGACGAATAAAGGAAAACAAAATAAAAAAACTTCAAACTTTTTTTAGGCGCAAGTAGTACGATAACCTACTCACTATCAGTAGCAACGGTTTGACATCGTCAAAACCTTCATCTTCTGTTTCTACCTCCTCTGCCAGCCGTTCTTCGTACTTCGAACGAACGAAAGAACGAAAGAACGAACGAACGAACGAACAAACAAATAAATTATTACGGAAAAATAGTTTTATTTCCAATGTGTAACAATCGCGAAAACCTAAGAACTCGATAAATAAATTATTTACAACTTTTTTAGCTCTTTATAATAAGCATTTTGCGAGTCTTTAGTGTTATTGCGTGATGCAACATGGGCTTCATCACGGCTCTTTTTTAGTTGTTTTACGTTTTAGGTAATCCACCGATACTGGTGCTGCCTAGCACGCAACACTCTCAGTGGTACATATATATCAAACAATGCCACGAACTGATCACTGAATTGCCTCACCATATCATCAACATCACTTAAGTTGCTTATACCCGTCCAGTCGATTGTATTCAGATCCATGTCAAATTGCTTGCAGTCAATATATTGCAGGTTTCTGCGAATAACCTGTGTTGATGCCGGTTGTGCCTGCACTATGTTTAGGAGGCATGTAATAAACGCATGGTGACTCAGTGCATGTATATACTCAACTTGTATCACAGTATTATTCGTACCAGTACTAATAGTATCAATAAGAGTTTCACTATACCCTGTAAAATGCGTGGGTTCAGACACTAGTTGTTTCAATGTATGACAGGTGAGAAAGTCCATAATCTTTTTGGCATCGCTATCTGAATGACGCCATAAATCTACATTAAAATCTCCTAAAAGAACTATGCATCCACAAAAGTGTCTACATTAAGACACCGTGGTCTGTACGCTGTCTCTATCAGTAGCTTTATACCGGCAACATTTACACACAGCCACATTCGTTCTACGAGCGAAGCCGGTGGATGAGGCAATATGCGGATTGCGATACCCTGTCGTATGTAGAAGCCCACCCCACCACCACGCGAACGCACGACTGCCGGACGAGGGATATGACGTAACCTATTTACAGGTACCGATGGTGCGCGACCTTCTTCGCCCTCTCTCAACCAAGTCTCGTTAACGGCCATGATATCAACACCGTGACGATCCATTGCTATCAGAAATTCATCATGGCGTGTGCCCAATGAACCCACATTTAATAAACCTAACTTAAGTTTACGTTTTAAATTAAATTTGAATATAAAAATACATTGAAATTACAATTTAATAAATTATTTGCAATTAGATGCTTGTGGGTAATTGCCAAGTAATAATAGTATGGCGCTATAATTAACGAAAGATAATATGTGAATAAAGTTATAAATACAAGTAGGTAGCATATCTGTAGGAATCGTACTAAAATTTGATTGTTTACCCGTTTATAAACATCGTTTTTGATAATGCATGTTTAGTGTTGTATTCGTTTAAATACTGTAAATAGTGTACCTGTGTAATCATGTGTATTGTTTGTATATGTATATATTTACAACCAACAAAATTTACATTTGTGGTTGAATGTATAAAATATTAAAATAGTGTACACACACATGACAGTACATTGTAATTTGTATTGTAAACAGTTTGCATCTTTGATTCAAGGTGCGGGCCTCACTAATAAGTACGACGAATTTCCGAAAGGGGTCGCTTCATTTAATTCAGTCTATGAATTGTTTATTATAATTGCCGGTATTTATTTAAATTGTTTTCGTGTCGTACCTTAAGTGTCTATTAAATTTGGTGGATTATAGTTTTAAAAGCTGTTTTATTGCACGAATTCACCGCACTTTAACACACTTTGTATTTTAACTTTGGATACCTCTTTCTATGTATTTTCAGGATAGTAGGTAGGTAGGTAGTTGTCTATTTTTATTTGTGAAATAACCGAGCGAAATTCCAAAGAGCAAGTAGTCACACAGACGTCCGTGACGTCACCACTTTGTAAATAAAAATTAATACTACTTTATCATTTCAAATCGCAATACCTATTTATTTCAAACATCGATCGATCGATCGATCGAGACAACCTGCAAAAGCTAAACGGGCTGTATAAAGTTTTTGTTTCGCTTTTAAATTTTCAGTTTTCAACCTCGTAAACAGTATTACTTAGGAAAAGCATTATAGATAATATTAATGGAATTAGCGACTCGTAAACTCGTAGAAATATTTTCATACTTGTTCAGCGTAATTTCTAAATTTATTTCATTTTGCTTAATTTTTCATACATTTAATAACTGAAATAGGAAAGTACTGCCACATTACCT